TGGGCCACCTCTCCTAGAAGGTGTCTCCCAAGGCCTTTGGGCTACCTCTCCTAGAAGAAGTCTCCCAAGGCCATTGGGCCACCTCTCCTAGAAGGTGTCTCCCAAGGCCTCTGGGCCACCTCTTCTAGAAGAAGTCTCCCAAGGCCTTTGGGCCACCTCTCCTAGAAGAAGTCTCCCAAGGCCTTTGGGCCACCTCTCCTAGAAGACGTCTCCCAAGGCCTTTGGGCCACCTCTCCTAGAAGGTGTCTCCCAAGGCCTTTGGCCTACCTCTCCTAGAAGAAGTCTCCCAAGGCCTTTGGGCCACCTCTCCTAGAAGAAATTTCCCAAGGCCTTTGGGCCACCTCTCCTAGGAGGTGTCTCCCAAGGCCTTTGGCCCACCTCTCCTAGAAGAAGTCTCCCAAGGTCTTTGGGCCACCTCTCCTAGAAGAAGTCTTCCAAGGCCTTTGGGCCACCTCTCCTAGAAGGTGTCTCCCAAGGCCTTTGGCTTACCTCTCCTAGAAGAAGTCTCCCAAGGCCTTTGGGCCACCTCTCCTAGACAAAGTCTCCCAAGGCCTTTGGGCCACCTCTCCTAGAAGGTGTCTCCCAAGGCCTTTGGGCCACCTCTCCTAGAAGGTGTCTCCCAAGGTCTTTGGGCCACCTCTCCTAGAAGAAGTCTCCCAAGGCCTTTGGGCCACCTCTCCTAGAAGGTGTCTCCCAAGGCCTTTGGGCCACCTCTCCTAGAAGAAGTCTCCCAAGGCCTTTGGGCCACCTCTCCTAGAAGGTGTCTCCCAAGGCCTTTGGGCCACCTCTCCTAGAAGGTGTCTCCCAAGGCCTTTGGGCCACCTCTCCTAGAAGAAGTCTCCCAAGTGATTTCCCAAGAACAGTGGGAAAAGCAGCCATCAGTTGATGGCCTGGGGATGTTTTTAAGGCTGCAGTGAGGCAGGCCAGACTAGCCCTTGTGTGTTACTAGGGTGGCGTTGGGATGGTCTGTAGAAGCTTGCCTCCCTTTTGTTAACTTTGTCCTTGTCATCCGAGCGGCAGCTTCCAGGAGGAGGCGGGGTCTGCGCCTCCCCCTTTTCTCCCCCCTCCCCCCCATTCAAAACCTCTCTGCATTTTGCACAGCAGCCGGAGATCGTAGATCGTTATCCAGCTATGACTTTGTGCTCCGCTGACGTTATCTATTCTTTGGCTGTCACTCGCTCCGGCACCGGCGCTATCTGCCGTCTGCTAATGGGGATCGTTCGGCTTCGGAGCAGAGTCTCCTGCGTTGCTCCCCCCCCTCCATTGTTCCAAGTGGGTATTTTAAAGTGCTCTTTTATGTGAGAGCGTGACACATCTTCTTCTTAGCCGTGCCACGGCGGCAGGCTCACGAAGCTCGCTCTTTCACATCTTCCTGATTAAATGTTGTCAGGCTACCTTTTTTGTCTTCTGCGGAGACATGTAATTATTACATTCTCCTCCCCTCCCACCTGCCATAGATTCTCTTCCAAGGACGAGGTCTGCCTCTCTGTCTCCCTCCATTTATTTTCCTCAATTAGTCTCTCGAGTGCTTAAAGAGCTAGCAGGGTACTGTAGGTTAAGAGTTTCGGACTGGGGTCCGGGTTCAGATCCCTGTGCTATCCTGGAGCACGCTGGGTGACCTTAGGCTAGTCGTGTTCTCCGTCTAAAGCGCCTCACTAGGATGTTGTGAGGGAGGGAGACCCACATATGCCGGTCTGATCTCCTTGGGGGCAAGGTGGGACAAAAATACCTGAGACAAGGGGTGTCAAGAGTTACTTGTTTTGTGGGCTAGAGCGGATGTAAGTGTAGCTGATTAGGCCGTATGTACCATAAATGATCCAACGCTTCCTCTAAGCTGTGAAGTCTTGTGAGCAAAAATTCTACTTTGTGAGCGACTGGCATTGAAGTCGTGAGCGAGCAGTTTGGCTACTGCATAAATTAGTTTGCCCCGGAGCCACCCTTCCTGGGCTAAGGCAAAAATGTGTGAGCCAGAGGCTAAAAAACTGTGAGCTAGCTCACACTAACTCAGCTTAGTAGGAACACTGTTGATGACCTGATTAATGTTTAATAAAATTAGTGTTCATTGTTGATTAGGGTGGGGCGGTGGCTTTGTGAAAGAGCCTCTGCTTTGCATGCCAAAGGTCCCAGTTTGATTTCTGGCACCTCCAGTTAAAGAGGGCCGGGTAGCCGGTGATGGGAAAGACCCTTTCTCTGCCTGAGCCCCTGAAGAGCCGCTGCCAGTCTGAGTAAACAAGACTGACCTTGATGGACCAGTGGTCTGAGAAGGCAGATTTAATGTGTGTTCAATACTAATAAATGTCACTGATAGTTGTAGTATTGGTTCAGTACAATGTTTTTATTAACTGAAATTCCACACTCAACAACTGTGTCCTTCCCTCTTTCAGCATTCCAATATATAGGTTTTTGCATTTTCCCTCTGCCTAGGCCCAAATTGCTGGTTTTCATTGCGAGCCAGGCACTGGGAGAGACTCCGCGAATGAACATGCCTTGGCGGGGCGAACGTTGCCCTTCAGAAACTTGCCTGGGCGAGTGAACCTTTGGAGGAGCAGCCGCTTCTTTCTCTTGGTGCTCCCACGTTCTTGTGCCGTGTCCCAGTTCACGGTTGCTGGTTCTTCTTGTGGGAGACCCAAGTCTGTAAAAAGGGCCAGGCCCAAGGCTGCAGCAGCTGGAGGAAGTGGCGGATGATGGGTAGGCCAGGTGGGTGGTGAACACTGGGCCAGGAGGAAGGCCGCAGGAGTGAGAAGTAGCCGCACACGTGCACCCATGGCGAAGGGCATCTAGTTAAAGAGAGCATCCTTCTGAAATGTTGAGGAGTTACTGTGAGTGAACACTGGGCCAGGAGGAAGGCCGCAGGAGTGAGAAGCAGCCGCACACGTGCACCCATGGAGACACGTGGGGGTTTCTCTGCTGTGATGCTGAGTGCTGGCCGTCTGCCACATCTCTGGCGACACAGGCAGCTGCCGCCGTGCCCATTCCAAGCCAGCCTGCGGCTATACCACCAAGGATGGCTCAGGGTGGGAAAGCCAATGCGCTGTGCGTGGCTGTCTCATCCCAAGTAGGCGTGTCCGAGTGAAAGGGAAGGAGGAGAGGCCCTCATAGGCACTTTTGCTCAGGGGGAGAGAGAGAGTGCGTGTTGTGCTGCTGTGTCCCTCTTCTCAAGCCATTGACTAATGTGGTGGCGGCAGCCAGACTGGCTGAGGTTGAGTGGGACACTGCTGGCTGCTGGATGTGGCTTGCCTTGCAGGCCGCAGGAGTGCCCTGGCAGGGCTTGATTCGGCCCCTGGGCCTTGTTCTTGACACCCCTGCTCTAGAGAGACAGAGCTGCTTCCTGGAGGTAGCCAGAAGGCACTCCAGGCCGATGGGGGAAAGCGGAACAGCCAAGGGTGTTACATTACCTTAAAAGCAGGGGGTCCCCCATGTGGTGTGCGTGGGTGGCATAGCACCCACAAAAGCCTTTCCTGGAGCTTACCAAGTGAGCAGGGCTGGGTGGGGCTTTTGCCCAACATGGCTTCTGATTGGCTGTGCAGACCGAAGGGCGTCTAGTTAAAGAGAGCCTCCTCCCGAAATGTTGAGGAGTTACTGTGAGTCGTATGTCGCCTCACTCCCTGATATCTTGTGGTTGGCTCCGCCTTCTGTGTCAGCCACTTTGTGATTTTGCCCACCGCCCCTGTGTCAGAATTCCAAAGGTGCTCTCAGGTGCAGAAAGGTTCGGGGACCCCCTGCTTTGAAGGCTCCCTTATCAGGACAGAAGTTTTTGTGAGGCAGAGCCTGCTTCGTCAGATGCATGAAGAGCTCCACTCTGTGTAAACAGGAAAACGTGTGCCCAAAGCCACAAGCAGCAGAAGAGAAGTGGGGGAGCTATTGCAAAGAGAAGCCAGAAGGCTAGGTTTCCCAAGATGTGGGTGTTCTATTAGGGGCTGCGGTGGCTCAGAGGTTAAGATGCTGTTAGTTCGGCAGTTTGAGACCCGAGGGTGCCGCATGACGGAGTGAGCTCCTGTCTCTGGCCCCAGCTCCTGCCAACCTAGCAGTTCGAAAGCAAGAAACTGCAAGTCGATAAATAGGTACCGCTTTGGTGGGAAGGTAACAAACAGCATTCTGTTCGCCTCGGAGTTTAGTCATGCCGGCCACGTGACCAAGGAAACATCTTTGGACAGCGCTGGCTCTTCGGCTTGGAAACGGAAATGAGCACTGCCCCCTAGAGTCGGATTCGACTAGCTTTCGAGCAAGGGAAACCTTTACCTTTTAGGTGTTACATTACGCTGTGGAGCACAGATGGAATCAAGATCCGGCTGTGAGTTCTCCTTGCCTCCCGAGTCCAGTCAAATGGGTCTGAGCTTTTGATTTTAGGTCAGGGGGCTGTAGTTTGAGCCCCCCTACACTCCAGTTTCACTCTAACTTACAATAATTTAATTAGGGATTTTTTTAAAAAAATCAAACCATATTATGTTTGGTTGGCAAAGTTAGCTAAAGGCATGTGGGGAGGCCTCCTCTGCTGTCCAGATTCCACAGTTTCTGCGTGGGCCTTCTTTTCAAAAGAGCTTCTGATAGCTAGTAGATGGATCTCTGCAGCTGCTGTTGCCAGGACAGGGAGCTACACAGTTTTCTTTTGATCGTTTGTTATTTCTTATGCTAGCTACTGAACTTATAATGCAGTGTTGGCAATTCCTGGCTTTGTAAGCCCTCTTTGATCTGCAGCCGATGGTGAGGAAGTTGGGACGCAATCGCATCTTTATTATTGGGTGTGATTGGTGAGAAAGGGGGGACACGATAACATCTTAATTATTATTGGGTATGATTTGGCACTTCCTGAAGCCCCTCCAGAGGGGCAAAATGAGGGCAATCAGTGTATGGACAAATAAATATAACCTGTTTTATGCAGAAGTGTTTGTTGAACCTTGGTCAAAGCTCCTCTCGTCTTCCCTCTCCTGCCCCCTCCTCACCGCAGTCTTCCTGGTCTGACCAATGGTTCTAATAAAGGTCCCCCATGTGTGTGCATTAAGTAGGGACCGTGAGCGGCGGGAGCGGGAGCAGCTGGTCCAGGTGCGGGACGAAAGGCAGCGGCTGGAGCGGGAACGGCAGCGGCTGGAGTTCCAGAGGCAGCGGCTGGAGCGGGAGCGGCTGGAGCGGGAGCGGCTGGAGCGGGAGCGCATGCACATCGAGCAGGAGAGGCGGCGGGAGCAAGAGCGCATCCAGCGCGAGAGGGAGGAGCTGCGGCGGCAGCAGGATCAGCTGCGCTACGAGCAGGAAAGGCGCTCGACTCTGCGGCGGCCCTACGACCCAGATGGGAGGTGAGCAGTTCCGCCTGCAGTCCTGGGTGTACGCAGTGGGCCTGGGAGTCCGCCTGGAAGAGCGAGCAGTGCCGTCTCGCTTGAGGAATTGATAATATGACACGGCTCTCCCTAGGTTGAAATCTCAGCCACGAAATGAGCTGAATTCTCATCCCCTTCCCCCCAACCCACACTTTGGCCCTGTGTGCCTTCTGCTTAAGAACATGTTTTTGAAAAAGCTTTTCTGGCTGCTGGGTTTTGTTTCTATGCTCAATTCGGAGCACTGGGGCTTTCTGAAGAATCAGCTGCATCTGACCTGGGTGCCCTTTAAGGGCTGCCTCCTCGCACACCGTCCTATCTTGTGGACTCATATTTGTTGGGGTGATGCAGGCTGCTGTGAAGGATGCTTTTCTGATGCTCACGAGGCGGCATTCCCTTGCCCTCTGCTTCCCCTTTTTCCCCTGGAGCTGCCTCTGGTAAGTTTTTATGTGTGAGAGGGAAGCATTTTATTCATCCAGGCGTCTCTCGGTCAGTGGGTTATGGTGACTGGATTTTGCTATCGCTTCCTGCTTTGAATGGCTCGTTTGTTTATCTGCTGTTATATGGTGAAACATGCTATCTCATGTTTCAAAGGATAGCCATGTTGGTCTGCAGAAGAAAAGAGCTAGATTTGAGTCCAGAGAGCAGCAAGATTTTCAGGGTCTGATCTTTTGAGAGTCAGAGCTCCCTAGATTCAAGTCCGCCAGGACCTGAGAGGCCAATAAGATTTTGGGGGGTGTAAGCTTTCACGAGTCAAAGCTCCCTTCGTCAGAGAACTAACGAATACCAGGTAGCAGATAGCTCTCGACACCTCATACCTCAAGAATCCTATTCGTCTCTGAGGTGCTGCTGGAATTGAATCCAGCTCCTATTTCTCTTGCTAATTCTTGTAAAAAAATTTTTTACTGCTGCCGTTTCTACTCTTTCTGCTTTTAGTGCTGTTGTTGCTTCTGGATTTATTGCTTTTTAATTTTTTTCATTCCATTATCTTGATCGTTGTGTGTGATTGTTCTTTTTTGATGCCACTCCGAGAGCCTTTGGGCTACAAAGGGGTTTAAAAGTCAGCGGAATGGCATGGCCGCTCTGAGGGTGGGTGGACCAAGTTGCCGTCCGCCCCCTCCGGGGTGGGAGGGAGATGCAGGGAGGGGAAGAGCCGCTGAGGATTGAATCAGCCCCTCCTTGCAGGCGTGACGACTCGTACTGGCCGGAGACGAAGCGGATGGCTCTGGAGGACCGATACCACTCTGACTTTGGCCGACAAGCTCGTTTCCACGGGTTTGACCACCGCGACCGTGGCCGTTACCAGGATCATCTAGCGGACAGGTTAGCTCACCTTGTCCCTCCCCTCGCTGGCCTTGTCCAAGATTAGGGAAACTTGATGGATGCTCTCTGGTGTGATAGGAAGAGGCTACACTGCCAATTGTGAGAGCCGTGCCTCTTCACACATTATCCTACGAGCACAGTGGTTTGTTGGACAAATAGAAATGGCTTGCTTTTGGCAGTGTAATGTGTGGCATAGCCCTACGTGGCTTGGGACCCGGGGTAGCTTCTCCCATCCGGTCCTGCCTAGGCACTAAGATCACAAGGAGAGGCCCTCTGGGGACTTCCCTATCTACCAAATGAGCTTGTCTGGTGGGAGCATGAGAGAGGGCCTTTTCAGTGGCAGCCCCATGATTCTGGAGCCACCTCCCCAGGGAGGTGTGCCTGGTCCCTGCACTCTCGATCTTCAGTGGGCAGCCGGAGACAGTTTTATTCGTGACGGCATTCGATTAGTTCTTCTGCCTACTGGCAGTTTTTTTTAAATTCTTGATTTTAATTCGTGGTGTTTTACATATTTTATGGTGTCTTATTTATTGATTTGATTTGATTTGATTTGATTCGTATCCCGCCCTTCCTGCCGAGGCAGGCTCAGGGCGGCTTACATTTAAAAAGTCAAAATGCGTTAAAACACAAATGCATTAAAGCACAATGCACCATCATAAAGCTCATGTACACAACAGACAACAAATAAGAGATAAAGTGCTGGGGGCGGTGATGATGATTATGTTCCTCGAGCTCCTCTAAGGTAGAAAGGCAGTTAATATTTTAAGTGACAATGACCTTGAGCCAATGGGTCGACGGTAGACTGAAGCAGCCGCAGCGCATATGAGGCTGGATTCCGATCACAATTGCCAAGTCTCAACGGCAACCCCCCCCCCCCGGGCCCTTGCCATTTAAGGAGGCGTTCTTGATGTCTGTGGCCACTTTAGCGCCAGTTCCAGATGTGCAGCTGTATAACTCTGTTGGAAGATGTTGTGTGTGCCCTGTTGAATTCCTTTTTTCACCCTCCTCCCAGGAGAGAAAGAGGACTGCCGGATCGGGATGGACAGGTATGAGCACGTTAAGCCGTGTTTCTTTGTGTGGGTGTGTACAGATAAAAGCATGCTGTTGTTGCCTTCTAAACTATAAATTGATTTCATTTGTCAAAAGTGCTTTGGCTGTGCCCAGAAGGCTTTTGCAGTGGCTTAGGATCTGCGTCAGGGTTCCCAGGATGTTCCCCGGGCATAGCAGTACGTTGAGAGAAAAACAGCATGTTGAGCGGAAAAACTAAAATAATGGAAGGCACCAGGAACCCTAATGTTTCCACCAATAGAGGAGGATGCGCACGGCCTCTCTGCATGAGTCTCTGCTCTCAGCCTTGTCCTGTTCCCGATATCCTTGACAACATCTTTGCATGGTGCGCAATTGGATCATTCAGTCCGTCTTGATGCAGAGATGTAGCAGAGCTGTTAGTCCTTTCGAAGGGGCCCTTGGATCAGGGACTCATATAGAAGCAAGCATGTGCCTGAACTCCCTCTCTGGTAGTTTTTGCAAACTAGGGCGGGAGAATGAAGCCAAAGGTTCATTCCCACCACTGAACAGACAAGCTGTTTATCTTTTCAGGAGGAACTGCTTGTCCAGAATCCAGAAACCCAATTCCGGCTGCTCAGTTGGGGATGTGTTCTCTCCTAGCTGTCATAAGTTTGAATGCAGAAAATAGGATTTCTCTTGGAAAGAAAAGCAAGATTTATGAATGGACTTGCACCTTATTTTTGGATCTGATAAAGTGACCACAGTGTGGTGTCTTGAGTGAGGGTCTCTGGGTGCTGGATCGATGGGAATCACCATATACTGGGGATCCATGGAAAGGTTCCTGCACACACACACCCATGCCCCAGTTAACTTGGGCCTTGCTGCACAAGGGCAGTATAAGAAGCAACTTTCTGGTAGCTTTTGGGGCAGCACCAAATGTTGCCCAGTGTGTGAAGGACTTGTGCACTGCGGGCAGAATCTGGGTGTTGTTTTTACCCCACCCACCCCCCACCAGAGACGAGGCGGTCCCCCCCCCGCGAGCCCCTTTTGTAAAGAAAAGGCCTCTTGGTATAAAACTTAAAAACTGTTAATACTGGCTTATCCTGTACAGGGGATTGCATCATTTCATTGCAATTAGAGCTTTGGCAGCATTTAATTTGGACTGTGCCATTTAAGTCCCCTAATAGACTGTGGATCCGGTACACTCTGCCATTCCATCCTTCATTGGACTGAATGGCAGAGTGCACTGGATCCTCATACCTATCATCCATCCAGCCTTTCTCCAGAAGGTACTTCCGGCAAGTGCCGAGAAGAATCGGCTCTTGGTTGACAAGTATCGCCAGCAGTCCTCCAGTTTGATTCTCAAGGGTTTAGATGCCAGCAAAATAGATGCCGTGCCCTTGGCGGACGTTTCAGAGTCCGAGGATGCCTGGCTGCTGCCCCCTCCAGCTTACTGGGCACTCTCCTTAAGCTCCGGAGACGTGACTTTGTGCTTGCAGTTACTTGGCAACACCCCTCCCCGTTCCTGCTGGCATGGGCGCCAAGAGCTGAGGCAGCCCTTTCGGAGGCTTCCGCCTTGCATCGGGTGCCGTCCCACTTATCTGTGGCCTTGTCTTTCAGCACTACCCCGACGACCGGCACTCGCGGGGCTCGCGCGACAGCTGGGGCAGTTATGTGCCATCCAGGTAAGCATCTGAAGCTGCCAGAAGTTGTGCCCCGGTGCAGTAGCACCTTCCACACAGAGGGAGGGAGGGTGGGTTTGTCTGTCCGGGGTCTTTGGTGTGGCAGAACTCCGTGCAGGCCTTGACTTCCATACCAATGGGAAGCCAAATTATCCAGACGGGCTCAAGGAACATACGAGTCTTGCCGGGTCAGATCTCAGGCTCATCTGGCCAGCCAGATGGTTTTGGGAAAGCTAGGTTTGAAGTCAGCACCCCCTCACCTATTGATTTATGGTAGCTGTTGTAGCCTCCCGGGTCTCAGAGTCATTGCTAGACCGCTCCTCCTTGGACGTTTTGGGTTTCCTTCTCAGTTCACAGAAGCCCATTGCTCTCGGCTTATCTTGTGACTGGTCACCATACCTCAAAAGTACTGGGTGGTATGAAAGACATCCTAAACAGCTGCTGCCAATCAGAGGAGACTAGACTGACCTTGTTAGGTCATCAGTGTAGCCCAGTCGCTCTGTGCACCTGCCACGGTGAACACACGCATGCCCCACCTGATCTGTTTGTAAGGAAGAGCCAATGTGTGTTCACTTTACAAATGAAACCGGGGCTGACTGCCTGGAAATATGTGGGGTTGAAATCACACGTGCAACTTTAAATTGCACATACCTGCATTTGGATGTAAGACAAGAATTACCCAGCGTACATTTCAAGGAGAATCAAGTCTGTCCGCAGTACGCGGATTGTACATGCATTCTCTGTAACCTGTACACAGGGGAGGATAAGGCAGTTTTGTGTGAATACTGTGTATGCAGCTCCCACTGTTGCAAGATAGGGCCATGGCTCAGTGGCAGAACACCCGCTCGACATGCAGAAAGTCCCAGTTTCATTCCTGGCATCTGCAGCTAACCCTAACCCAGACATCTCTGGAAGCTCAGGCCTGGTTGAAGGCTTTCCCCCTTAAAGTTAAAATTTTGCACTCCGACATCCAAGAGGGCTACCTCGGCTTAGTTGGAGAGGACACTTATGTTTCCCACTGAGATAGATTTGTCGAGCAACGGACTCTTATTTTTCCCACTGAGATAGATTTGTCGAGCAACAGGTGCAGTTCCTCAGTCTCTCCTTGGATTCCCTTTACTCACTTACCAGACAGGAAGCCGTAAGAATGATCAGGAAGCATCTACCGTATTCAAGTACGGTTATAACAGCACAATTTGTAGAGCACGACGTGTTTGTTCTACTCGGTTTGCTGGTATTCTTCCACCTGGAGAGCTCCCCAATTACTGCTCATGCCCCGCCGTCTAGAGTTTTGCCAGGGAGGCGTCTTCAGAGACCATCCTCTGATCTAGGGTGTGCGGCTGTGGGGCAGGCAGTGCAGATGGCCCTGTAGCACGTTGCCCTTTGGATGCAGTCATTTTCCTGAGCCTAGAAACCTTTTAAATTCTTCCTTTGCTCCAAAATAGATCATATGGAGACATCACCTCTTTTATTAGAGGTTAATCACAGGCCTATCACTCCTTTAGCTGCGAAATCTGATGTATCCGTGATGGATTTTTGCAGCCGTTCAAATGGGGTCCAGCTTTTTCTATATCTTAAGTCATCTCCTTAAAACTAATCAGTTGAGAAGCGGTATGAGGTAGAGAGAGAGAGAGAGAGTTAAAAAGATCAATTAGAAGGGCAAGAGGGCCTGAAACCCCAGAGAGCCGCAACCAGTCAGAGCAGCCGAGACTGACATGCCAAGGGTCCGAGTCAGTCGATGGCAGCTTCATGTGCTTCTGTGGCGGTCAGTTGACATCTGACCGGCGTGCCGTTCCCTGTCTCTGGATCCGGCCTGTTTTCTTGTCTGGCCCGCGAGGAGGCCTGACCTGGCGAGTTACAGCTTTGCCCACCCACCTCTGCTGTCTTTGCCCTCTTCTTGCCCTGAATCGCGGGGCCTGATGGAGTGATCCCATGCTGTCGAGGAGGGTGGGGGGCGGAATACTCCAAATGGGTGTCTCTCTCCTCCCCTTCTGTGGAGGGAGGGTGTTGGGTGGGCCGGCGGGCAAGATCTACATAACCGGCTCCGCCCAAATTGGGTTCAGCCTAGTGGTTCACTCTGAACCTTTTAGGGTGGGGAGCAATGTGCACTGAATTAGTTCCATTTGTGGGCACATCAGAAGTGGACAGCTAGGTTCGAATCCAGAAACTCCGTAGAGATCAACAAGGTTTTCAGAGTAGGAACGTTCGAGCATCAGAGCCCTCTTCGTCAGATACTGTCAGGTTACCTGGTGAAAGGGAGCTTTGATTCTCGAAAGCTCATACCCTAAAGAGGAGGAGGAGGAGATTGGATTTATACCCCCCCCGCCCTTCACTACCCAAGGGAGTCTCAGAGCGGCTTACAAGCTCCTTTTCCCTTCCCCTTCCCACAAGAGACACCCTGTGAGGTAGGTGGGGCTGAGAGAGCTCTGACAGAAACTGCTCTTTTAGAAGGAGGAGTAGGAGGAGGAGTTTGGATTTATACCCCGCCCTTCACTACCCAAGGGAGTCTCAGAGTGGCTTACAAACTCCTTTCCCTTCCCCTCCCCACAACAAACAACCTGTGAGGTAGGCGGGGCTGAGAGAGCTCTGACAGAAACTGCTCTTTTAGAAGAAGAAGGAGGAGGAGGTTGGATTTATACCCTGCCCTACCCCAGGGAGTCTCAGTGGCTTACAAACTCCTTTCTCTTCCCCTCCCCACAACAAACACCCTGTGAGGTAGGCGGGGCTGAGAGAGCTCTGACAGAAACTGCTCTTTTAGAAGAAGAAGGAGGAGGAGGTTGGATTTATACCCTGCCCTACCCCAGGGAGTCTCAGTGGCTTACAAACTCCTTTCTCTTCCCCTCCCCACAACAAACACCCTGTGAGGTAGGCGGGGCTGAGAGAGCTCTGACAGAAACTGCTCTTTTAGAAG